ATATCCATAATTATACTGTCGAAATGGCGCGCTGCAGATGATTTAACATCATATTTGTTTGCCTAAAGAGCTCGGACAGCAACACAATACGCTTGCCTGAGCACCTAAGATTATTGCTCACTGCGGTTATTACAATGTAGAGAAACACCAGAAATGATTTGTGTTTGTTTCGCTTGTTGCTCATTGGAGTGTGTCAACAATAAGCAATTTTCGATCTTTAATTAGCTAGTTCCAACTCGTTAAACAGTTGATAAGGAAATGCGGTGAAACGGGCGTGGGAGACTAGTCATCGGTGGCGCGATAGGAAACGATAAGGCACGTCAGGGAATCGCTGCACAAGTTTCTCAACTGGGCTACATCGGTGGTCATTCGTGCGACTGGGTTTGCGATACACGAGATCATGGTAATTAAACTAAGACGTTGCTCAATTCTAAATATGTATCGTAGTTCTTTAGGTAGTCGAAAAATGAAATTTACCAATTTCGTCGTGAAACTACTTAGAATAGAAGTGTCGGCGTTGAAGAAATAGGCCCATGGCCTGTTGCCGATTCTTGAACTTTTCGTGACTTGATTCACAAGGGATCCGTCCTGTGGAACCCGATCTTTCTATAGCTGACGATTGATTGAGATAGCTGCTGGACTTATTGCCTGATCCGTGTAGCTATTGAATACGATCTTTCAATTCTCACTGCAGATGCGGCATTTTTCTGGATTGTGTCTGTTCTTAACCATTCTCGTCTTGCGAGAAGTGTCTACTCAAGGTCAGTAGATTTCGCTTTCAGTAACTAGGTGCAAATTACGTATCCGTGCTGCTCTAGAAAATTACAATGAAAAAGTCAAAGAAAAAAAATCACGAAACGAATAAAATGAGAACTTATAGCCTCTTTCAAAGAAGTCTAGGGATTGATTCGCATACAGAAGTAAAAAAAAAAAGTCAGACAATTTCGAAAACAGATAATAGACTTCTTTCTACGTGTGGTATGGAGTCAACTCAATATCTACATTCAAGAACAATGTACTTTCTTAGAATTGAACATTTTGTCTATAATGATCGTAATTTATAATTTGAACAAGGCAAGCATTTTAATGAGATTTTGATGTATTTACCGATAAAAACATGATTAATCATTCTAGCGGCGTTACTAATTTATCTTTATAGAAGAAAATCTGCTAAAATTGCCTCGAGCCTAATTTTTCCCTAATTAAAAAGTTTAACGATAAATTAAAACGCACGGAATAATGTTCGAAAATCAGTTTTAAATGCTCATTTGCGTAATTTTTGGTGCAATTTTTATCATTTGTAGATTTGTTCCTAATTGCAAAGTAATCATCTGCAGATGAGAGAACAAAGATTGTTGGCGGGACAGAGGCAGCTCCTGGCGAGTTTCCTTTCGTGGTGAGTAGTTGAAGTGACGCTTAAACCTAACCTGCGATGCATCAACAAACCAAACGAATACATGTTATTATAATTCGTTCACGAATGTGTACAGCGCTACCGAGTAACAGATTCGAATACTTACGAATTTCTCAAACATAGTATATAGAGTAAACATTTTTAGCTTAAAATAAATAATTATTATTATAGTTATTTTATATAATATCGAATATGTAGAGATTTCAGCGTTGATTGCCCCGTGTTCGCCTGTTGGCCGCTTTTTCAGCTCCTGTCCGACTTGCCGATGTCAACTACAATTTTCACAGCTAGTTGTGGGTATCACACCATTCAACTCGCTGCTTCCAATATTAGTGATCTTAATCACTCGGCCACCCCGAGATAATAACTAATTGCTTATTATTATATTAGATTGTTTACTGTAATTATCATGAAGCAATAAAGGACTACATAGAATGTCTTCAGTAGCGATCCGAGAACAAAGAGATGGGATCTATTTTTTCTTAGATCTGTAGAGATCAGTGATCGTGTTTTTTGAATTAATAAAAGGAAATAAATATAACCGTTAGGAAAATGTATAATAGAAATTAAAATTATATTGCTGCTCGTTATTACCTCCAGGTTGCATTGTATCTAAACAACACAGAAGGAGAAGTTCATTTCCACTGTGGAGCCTCTCTAATATCGCGGCACTATGCAGTTACTGGAGCTCATTGCGTCCAAGGGTGAGTGCTGCAGTATAACAGGCGCGTATTTACTCTTCACTTATGAGTTCTAAGAGCGTATAAATATGAATTTTTCCTATGTTACCTATATGTGCTTTATTGAATCCAGAACTTTTATTTTCTTACTGTTTTAAATGAGTTTTTCTCTCAATTCTACTGTCGATTCGAACACGCCCATCGATAATTCCATTACGCATCTGAAGGTAAGAAGTCAGATAATAAATAAGTAGTTTTGCGGTGCTCTAAAATTCTGTACTCACTGTTAGACATGAAGCGTCCTGAGCATCAAAGCATGTATAACTATTAACTAATAAATGGTTCTTAAATTGTTCCCGAAATTTCATCGCCCGAAATTCATTTCCTAAGAAATTCCAAATAATTCTTCGGCAGATAATAAACCAATAATAATGAATATTTTGTCCGTACCATAAAAAAACTTTGCAGAGAATATTTGAAAAGTAGGTACAGCTTGATTAAAAATATTAGCGTTTTTAAAAAATCTATTTTTACTGAAATCATGAATGATTCTAAGCATGTTATTAAGCAATTTTTGATTTTCATCAGTAATTGTGGGCTCGTCTAGATTATAAGTGAACAGCAAATCAATCTTTTGGCTAATAATAACATATTTTGGCTTCTTCAATAGGTGGTCGGCGTGGCGGTTTAAAATAGTGGCGGGCACCGTGGACCTCGAAAACCCGAGCTCTGCTACCCAGGAGATCTTGGTTGAAGAGGTCATTGAGTACGAGCTCTTCCATTTTGAAGTCGGGACAGCCATTCCTACGAACGACGTGGCTCTGCTGAAGGTAACGACCATTTATTGTCTTACTTTAGTATCAACCACACTATGTTCGAAATTTCATCCGTGGTAATTTTATATCCATTCCAAACTATATTTCAGTTGATTTCATTCACTGGTGGCCTTCACAAGATAAAAAGTATTGTGTTAACTTGTGCATTTGGTATCCACTTCGTCTGATCGGAGAAGTGAAAATTGAGCATTGAGTAAACAATATACTCGTTAGTTGACTCAAAAATAAAGCAACTAAATTAACTTATGCAGTACACCAGCATCCCTTTTATCAAGCAATATCTCAAACTCAATTGAGCTTTTCGAGCGTCAATCAAAAGGCAATCTAAATCGTATGAATATTATTCTCAAACACAAGTAAACTTCTCGAGCGGGTATCAAAAGAATATTATATATAATAGAATAGATATTCCATATTATTAGATTATATATTAATTAGATATTATCTATATATTATATATAATATCTAAACTTTGTGTCAGTTACAAGGAGAAGGCGCCTCAGGAACAGGAACGGGATTCATCAGCGTCGTGGGCCAGGACCAAGAGCTTCCCGTAGGCTCCTCCTGCACTGTCCTGGGCTGGGGCGCAACTCAGGTACATTGTAATCGATTGACTTTTATGTTCCTGTATCGTTTTTTAGCGCATTTTCTCATTTATGGAAAAAAAGGCGCTATTATGCTCGTCATGTCCGTCTGTCTGTCTGTCCGTCCGTGACTTCACGTTTTCGTCGACCAGAAAATGCGCTCTCTGTCACTCACTGCAGTGAGTACTGAGTTATATTTTTTTTTACCAAGGTTTGAATCTCCGTGTATTTTTTGATTTACTGTTCTTATTATATTTATATTCAATATATTTTCTGGACTGATGCTGGAGGTGGTCTCCGATAAGTTTTCATTAAAGGTATAATGAACTTGCTTGGCACTCTAATTGCTTTCACATTCCTTGTAAACTTGCGATTTAAGCAGACTATGGATATATATATATATATACTTAAGTACATTGTTAATAAGGGTTACGGCTAGAGTATTTCTAGGAGGGTTGTGGTTAAGCGATGAGTGATGTACTTCAATTATCTCTTCGTCGTTCATTGTGTCTTCAACGTCACTGTTATATTCGACAGATGAAATCAATAAAAATTTATTTAGATATGTCACAGAATAGAAATACAATTATTTTATGATCATGTCCAGCANACAGATGAAATCAATAAAAATTTATTTAGATATGTCACAGAATAGAAATACAATTATTTTATGATCATGTCCAGCATTTTATTTATTTATACTCGAACGTGTAAAATTTGTTCATTAGCGAATAATCTCATGTATAATCGTTAATTTGACGTCAAGGTACTTCATCACCAATTTAGTTTTCAATTGTATTTGATGAAGCTTAGAAATAACTGTAAATGGGATGAATTTTAGTTTTAAAATTTATTATTTATTTATTACAATAAATATTGCACTATAAAATTTGTCGATAGAGGTTGAGTTAAACACCAATTGTTTTGGCAACGTGAATCAATAGAATGAAAATGTGGAAGTCTAGTAGCTATTTCAAACTATCGTCAGTCTTGAAAAGATCCGGTCAAATGACAGGATTTTAGATCTTCTGTGAACAAGGCACGAAAAGTTCACGAATCGGCGACAGGCCACACCAGGCCTACTCCTTAGCGCTGACATCACTATGTTATGTTATGTTAAATGTATACTGAATTGTAGGACGGTGGAGCCATGTCACCAACACTGCGCAAGGTGGACGTGGTGGTGCAGGATCAAGCCACCTGCTTCGAGAGCTACAATTACCTCTTCAGACCTACAATGTTGTGTGCCGGCTATCCTGAGGGAGGCGCTGATGCTTGCCAGGTATTTTGTTTCACCTGCTTCGAGAGCTACAACTACCTCTTCAGACCTACAATGTTGTGTGCCGGCTATCCTGAGGGAGGCGCTGATGCTTGCCAGGTATTTTGTTGCTTTTTAGCGCATTTTCTCATTTGTGCAAAAAATGCGCTATTGTGCTCGCCATGTCCGCCTGTCTGTCTGTCTGTCCGTCTGTCCATCCGTCCGTGACCTCAAGTTTTCGTCGACGAGAAAATGCGCTCTCTGCCACTCACTGCAGTGAGTACTGAGTTATATCTTTTTAATAAAAACTTCATCTGTAAAGTGAATTTAAAAAAGGATTATTTAATGAAAGCATTGGCATTTATTAAAATTTGGATTTGCCTCTTTAAAGTGTAAACCTGATAATTGCTCCCCAGGGGGACTCGGGCGGTCCTCTGATCTGCGGTGGGGAGCTACACGGAGTTGTGTCCTGGGGAGATGGGTGCGCCAAGCCTCAGAAATACGGCATCTACACGAGACTTGCTGTCTTCTCAGACTGGGTTGAGAAACACAACTTCGTTTTAGGTTATCCTGACGATGAATGAACTTGCTGTCTTCTCAGACTGGGTTGAGAAACACAACTTCGTTTTAGGTTATCCTGACGATGAATGAACTTGCTGTCTTCTCAGACTGGGTTGAGAAACACAACTTCGTCTTAGGTTATCCTGACGATGAATGATCTTGATAAGGAAACATTACTATCATTAAACATTGTTATCAAATTTCATTATTGTAATCGATCGGTCACTTCATGAGTATTTGCCTGGGGTTGGAATAATTGAGAGATTACTTAGGATTACTGAACATAAATCCTGATCCAATACATCAAGTTGTTTAAAAATAAAAATATAAATTCAACATACCGTTGGAAGTCAATATGTATAAGCTTGCATTATATTTATTTAGCTGATTATGCTTCAGGGACCAAGTTTACTTTGCTAAACACTTTGCCTCTATGTCAATTGAAGCNATCGTTTAATTTAAATGCACTCGTCATCTTAATTGATTGATTTTTGACAGAAATCGATCGACTCACCTATTTTAAAAGTACTCAAGTAAAGCTGACAACAAAATGATGAGTTTCATGTACCTTCACTTCTATTCGAAACTAGCATGCAGATACAGCAGATGTTTGCAGAAATATCCTAAGGATATTATGGTAAATAATAGAGGCACCATAAGCATTAAAAGGTAAACAATGAAACAAAATAACTTTGGAGCTTAATTTTGCCTAGTTTGGCAAGGCACCGACCGTTAATATGAATAAAAATATGAATGAGTCCGATATTTACATTCTTATTCTCCCAATATTACTTCATTTTCTTTATTCTTCTTCATTTTCTTTATTCTTCTATTCTATACTTTTTAATTTTTCTACCGTGAACATCAATTACGCAGAGGAAATTTATCGATGATCATTAAAATTAAACAAATTTATCTCGGAACCACCAGAGGCGTCGGCGTGCCGAAATAAAGTTAAGTTGGAGTAAGAACAATAAAGAGCAGCCGTGATCCTTGTAATAAATTATTTCGTACGTGTATGGCCCGTGGAGAGATTCTTAAGATGTGATGCTGGACGATGTAGGAGATGCGCAGTACAATAGCAGCGCAGTGGCAGTGCATTGGCAGCGCAGTAGCATCGCAGTAACAGCGCAGTGACAGCGCTGTAGCAGAGCAGTAGCAGCGCAGTAGCAGCGCAGTAGTAGTGCAGTAGCAGCGCAATACCTGCGCAGTACCAGCGCAGTTGCATTACAGTAGCAGCGCAGTACCAGCGCAGTAGCAGCACAGCGTCAGGGCAGTAGCAGCACAGTAGCAGCGCAGTAGCAGTGCAGCGTCAGGGCAGTACTATCGTCTGCCCCCCGCGTTGTTTGTTCAGGTTGTCGCAGCGGCCGCCACCTGCGGTTGTCCCATGGCGCGCAGCAGCTGTCCCGCTCACACCGCCACGTCACACGACAAAAAACTCGTCTCGTCTCCAATGTCAAATGCACAAAAACTTCATTTGCAGCCATATGTATGCTCAGTTTACAGAGCTATGCATGCGATAACTTTAATCAATCAAGACATTAGTTACACAGCTGAGTAGCAGGAATTGTAGTCAGGTAAAGTTATTCCAAGAAATTGTACATGATATGATTGATCTCCCCAAAATACATTTCCGCGTAAAATGAAGCACTTCAAGTCAATGCAGAAACAAGACTTTGCTGGCAGAACAAGAGTAAATTTAATGCAATTCTACGAAACTTAACCTGACCAAAGGCTACGATTTAACGTTCATATGATCCTGCAAGTATTTTTAGTTCGTTTGTACAAGAGCAATTTTAGGAAATAATTTGAAAAGTCATTCCCTGGCACAGATCACTGTTTACTAAAAACAACGTAAATTTTTCTCCAATCGTAAAGTTACATACGGTATAAAGTATATTGCACGCGGTGGTACATTGTATTTATTACAAGACCTTGCTCATTTTCTTAGATTTTTTTTTACCTACAGTTTATTTTGCGCTGAATGCGAAAATTTATTCCTAGTTTAAATTCGCTGATAGAATAGAATAGAATAGAATAGAATAGAATAGAAGTGTCGGCGTTGAAGAAATAGGCCCATGGCCTGTTGCCGATTCTTGAACTTTTCGTGACTACATCTCGCGGCACAATCAATGAAAACAAAACGTTTAGAAATCAATGCGGGTTTAATTAATTTTCTGCTCTTGCATATAAAAATGAAACATACAGAGTACACGAAGCAACAACATTCTGCTCTTCTCTCATTTCTTAATTGAAAAAGAAACATGTAGGAAGTAGAGTCCCAATGTTTTATTCCTTGAATTTAAACCAGCAATTATGTACAACATATTAAGAGAAGTTCTGCACATATAAGGTTAATGTCTTCTTTTCTAATGATCGAGTCGTTGTTGGTCCTAGAAAAAAAAAATTTTTCATAAATAGGCTTGCTCTCGAAAATTCGGTATAGCCTGCAGTCGATTTGTGAGATTTGTTCCGCTGCGTAAGAGTAACGAAGCGTTGCTTCCGCTGCAGCTGCGGTACTGACAGACGAGCTCAAGTAGTCATGCAAGTAGACGTGGTGCTGATGGTATCAAATTTTTCGTAAACAATATATTGTCCACTTGTGCAAAACAGAATCTCTCGTCCTTACATATTTGCAGGATAACAGATTTAACTACGAAATATTAGGTAGGTGAAATTTGAAAAAATTATTCGGCCATTATAAACAAAAAATAGGGAATTAGCTTTTTCACTAGCGACAGGAGTACAGAGACGATTATTTTTCTCCCGTAATTTCTCGTATGCATTCGTAATATGATTTACGAACTTAAAGGCATTAGTCTAAGAAAAAATTGTAATTGGAGTATCCTACAATGAAGTTGGGCTAAATCTGTACTAAGGTTACCACATGAACACTCTAGTACAGATTTCGTAGTTTGGGCACTCAGTCTGCCTTCATCAAGTGCCTTGATACGCACTTAACCAAGCAGTTGTCCAGCTATGACTCTTCATTGCACAACTTTCGAATGCAGATTAATGATTTGATTAAACAAAAAATTAGATCAGTACTCACTGCAGTGAGTGACAGAAAGCGCATTTTCTCAGTCACGGACGGACAGACGGATATGACGAGCACAATTAATAGCGCCTTTTTTCAGAAATGAGAAAATGCGCTGAAAAGGGATAGGAAATTCAGTGATAAAGTTGTACTGAAAATTAATCAATGAATTTTAAAATATTTATTATTTTTGATGAAGATAAATTGTGCAAGTTCCGCGCACTCACAGAAAAAGAATATGATGAAGCAAAATATTCAATTCAAACAACTTACTATACTTGAGATAAACGGACAAATTTGTTAATAATTACTGCAAGACCAAGTTACTTACTTATCCATTTCGGACATAATGTTACCATGTATGTTTTGTATGCATCTAGACAGAGCATACATGTATAAAACATTTATGATTTTTTACTAAAAAGAAGTTTAACCTGAAAAACGTTACTTTTCCTAATTATCGTAGAATCATTTCTTAATCATGTCATCTATTCTTTTTAACGGCAGAAAAAAATAATCAAGGTTCATTATGAACACGTGATATTTAAAACAGCCTTTGTATTAACATTTAATTAGTATCGTGTTATTATAACAATTGTGGTTGAGTTGCACTGGTGTTGCTACTCCCCCAGTTGGTGGTGTGACGGGTGTTACAACCCCATGGCGCAGCCCTCGACTTGGAGCTGCGAGCACCGCACGTGCTACCGCTTATGGACACGCTGGATTAAACTGTAATGGAGCCAGAGTAATACAAAGCTCCTTCCTTCCATGTGACGCCTCGCTCACTCATTCTTATCTTGGACCATGACAAATTACCATAGCGCACGGGACTGGACAAATAATCGGATTGAAGGTATCTTTAACTGTTAATAACAAATCTCGATATCTTGTTTTCATGAGTAATCGGATTGTAATACCAGAATATTTTTTTAATTTCGACTAATATTCGTTAGTTTAGTTGTTCACATTATAACCAATGTGCCTCGATTATACAAGGAATAGGATGATAATTAAAACAAACTATGATTCAAATAATGTTGTATGATCGGCAAATAACAATAAGGTCTTGATAAAGGTACATTAGCATTATAATGGTGGATAATGAAGGTACATTAGCAATCTGGATGACCAATGAGAAGTTTGTGATGCAGCGGCAAGCCTGAGCATCCCGGCAGGGAGGGAGGCGATGCGAATATAATGAGGCCACAATTGAGGGACGGCGGCAGACTTGATGGCGCGGCAAAGACTCCGTGACGAACAAGTGACTTGCGCTGAGCGCACTTGCTGCGGTGGGCGGGGTGGGGTGCTGTCTACGGAGGACGGGGTGGGGTGCTGTCTACGGAGGACGGGTGGGGTGCTGCCTACGGGGTGGGGTAGAAATAGGGTGGCCGAGCAAAAGCGATTTGGGGTGCAAACTAGGATATGGATGGGAAACAAGACCGGAAAGAATTAAATCACAAAATTTGAGAAAAGAGGGTAAATGCGATTGTGTATGAAAGTAGCGTTTTTCCTAACGATTTGGCCAGATTTTGCCAATCATCGGCGACGACATTACTACACTTGGATAGCGTATAAATGAACGGTGTTCATAAGTTAGAAAACTAATTGTTTGCAAACTAGGATATAGAAGGGAAACAAGACCGGAAAGAATTGAGTCACAAAATTTGAGAGAAAGGGATAAAGGCGATTGAGTATGAAAGTAGCGTTTTCCTCACGATTTAGCCAGATTTTGCCTAATCATCAGTGACGACATTACTACACTTGGGCAGCGTATAAAAAAACGGTGTTCATAAGTTATAAAATTGTAATTGTGATCCTAAGATCCTTAGGAATGGCTATGTTAATTCATTGAAACACTGAATAGCTGAAAAAATCGTTTAAAACTGAAGTGTAATTAACAAGAATAATAAATCAAATTTTGTTTATTAGAGTCAAAATTTTCACACACCTACTAGTAAAAAACTATAAATTTGCTTTTAAAGCGATGTAATATGTCTGCCAGTCTCTGAGATTTACTTGAGGTCTGTAGTGGTCACCGCATGCCAAGTTTCGGATAGCAGTTGAATTTTAATCTATGAAAAAATTATCAATTCTCATCCGAAAAATCAACAATGGTAAAATGAGGTAGTTAATTGTGAATTGCTAAAATATATTAAGTAAATGAACTGTAATGAATCTTGGAAATATTAAAATTTTACATTCATTCTGGTTTGATATTAAGTAGTAAGGTCTCTTCAGAATGCTATCACAGGTACAATAAGTTTAATTACGTTAACCCTACATGACGTACAATGGAGGCAGCTCAATTAAAGGCTGGTAGAGTTCATTGATGACGCAACACGAAGCATCGCATCGGCTGAAGCACATATAGAAGGCTTGAGTGGTCGCTTCGGAGGTGGGGTATGAGATCAATGATCGCGTTCGAGGATCTCTTATAGATTTAGAAGTGGATGTGCATTGGGTAATTGAGATCACAGCCAACAAGATTGAGATGATCGATATAATTAATCCAAACAGCTGTTGGTCTTCAATGAGGGAGCTGGAAGTTTTTTTTCAGCTCACCTTAATTCTTTGAAGTTGCGGGATTTAAAATAAAATTGATTCCTAGAAGTTTAGCGAAAAAGCGCTCAATATTAGCCATAAGTGAGAATTACTACACAAGTTTTATTGCTACATTATTTCTGACCCGTTTTTAATGTGCTCATAGGCTGAATTTCAGAAAGTTTGTTGTTAAATAAGCTACCGGTTAACTTTAACCAGCGTGTTGCAATTTTTAAATTTTTATCGAATTAATAAAAAATTTGAGTTTCGTGTGTTTTTGTAAAATTATATGTTGAGATATAATCTCTTCACGCTGATCGTCAAACTTTTTCCCATCTCTCATTTGATCTAAGAACTTCTATCTCGTTTTAATCAGTACCGAAAACACCCCGCGTCGACCTCCTAAACCACGACTGCGGTAACAGCGGCGCGTGTAAGCCACCTGTGTGTAGGGTGGCAGCAGCTGGTGATGAGGAGGGTTGCCGCAGCTGCACCAGCCGCGCCGCGTGTTCACCACCTGACGCGATTCCCAGCGAGGTTCGGATTTGCTCCAGCGAAGAGGTCGTCTAGAGTTCAATTCGTGAGACTATCAAACATTGTTTTCTCATGAACTACAGCATCAGAAGCAAAAACCTTATTTGTGTTTAATACTCAATTTTCATTGCAGTTTGTTTACATACAAAAACTGGAACGACTGTCAACGCGTTATTCCTTAATGAATATTAAAATATTATTTTCAATATCCTGTTCTTTTGTACAAAATCATTGCAGCAACTGAAAAATTAACGAATGAAACGTGATAACGTTTTCCTTGTAAAGGCATTTAAAAATCTCTGCGAGCTATAACATTATGATCATGTTTGCTGAGTTGTCTCATGTTTAATTACAATCCAGTTCCAGTGTGTAGGACAATATATTAATGATAACATCCATAATATTTTCACAAGTTCAAGCAGCAGCGATCATCTAAGAGCATGATTCTCACACAATCAAATACATTGAATAAAGACCTTTACAACATTTTACTGTACGCTTTCTAAATGCATTTAAACATAACTCAAACTAACGTCAATATGATTTAATTTAGGTTCGAACTCCTCATGACCCCAATTTAGCCACATGCGACGGAAGAGAATTGAGTGCTGAAAAATAGCAGATGTCAATTACATTGTTTACTGTTATTCTAGTGAAAAATGTAATCAGTTTAGAAATAAAATTTCCAATAGGATGAGGCGAATTTTTTAGCCATTTCATCATGCAATCGTCGTTCATCCTAAGATGAAAGCCATCAAAATTTATGTCCTGTTCGTTACTCGTAGAAATGAACATAATGTACTGAAAAAAAATACGAATGATCAAATGCAGTGATATTTGTAAAATTAGGCGTGACATTTTAATTCAATTAGGTAAAGAGTAGGCCGAGAAATGATGGCAGACTGATTTTTCCAATATAGACCATATATAAGTAGACTACTTCTTCTGTTTGTGTCAGTGAATAATGCATGTTCACCATTTTTCAGGCTGAAACAAACAAGCTTCAAGTGGATGGAATTCACCCGTGCTTATGGTTGGATATGATCAGCTTCGCTGAAGACGTTCAGGCTGAGAACGTGCGACTAACTTTTTGTGATGAAGAAGAACCTACGTCCTTAGTTCCACCAATCAAGTTACTCACAAGCACTTCTCTCATAGATAATTTTTCAAATTGGAACCTAAGAATGTTTCCGCCTTTTACTTCTCCGGAAAATTTCGTAAATAATAAAAGACAATTGCAGTTAGTCGTAAGCAAAGCCATTCCAAGAGGTGGAATCCCTCGTCTGTGGTTCTCGTCCGAAGTCGCTTCGCAGCTGGGCTTGCCGTTCCTCAATTTTTCTCACGTTAGAGGTAAGACTGAAATTCTATCATCCTTTTATTCGTGTCATGAGAAAGTCATAGCTAAACCTGATTTTTGATTGCCGTATGCGAACACAGCTGAATAAAAATAACATGCAGAACATCCGAAAAATAATAAAGCAAAACAATTTTTAGTTACAATAATTGTTTCATCGAAATTTATAACTTAATTCGGAGGGGAAAATTTGATACTTTTTTACTTACAGGAAAGGAATACGTTTGTCCACAGTGTCAAAAATTGTTTTCAGCTCCGAATCCACTGAAGATTCACATCGCCTGTGCTTGTGATTCGATGCTCGGCAGCAGCCTCTGGAATCAGACTTTCCAGGAGACCAGGGCAACAGCTACCAGTCCTTGGAGTATCCCATTCATTTTTCCTGGAGCACATACGAGCTCCGAAACACCGGCGCTCCCACTCTCCTCACACACTCCTGTTTACGCAGCAGCGCTGAAGAATATTGAAAAAAGCGAGTTCTCAGCACAGACACACCAAAATATCGTTGGCGCATCTTTCTCTTCATCAAATAAGAACGATAGGAGACGGCATGACCCACGGGGTGAAAGACCTCACAGGTCAGCATTTCGACGCGTTGCAGCTAAAGCTACAGCTTCCATACCAGGTACATCAGCTTCGAAACATATGCATGCTGGTCGGATCTCCTCATTTAGTCATACATTTGAAATTTCTAACGAACGGCCGATGCCACATATGCATAGACTTATTGACGATAGGAATCTCCGAGTCGAAAACTCGAGAGAACCTGAGAACTATAACCGTGGCACTCAAGACCCTTGTGCTGAAATGGAAGCTTTTGTGTCAAATCTCGGCAGAGGCAACGGCGGTCATATGTGTTTGTACTGCGGTAAGATGTACTCGCGGAAGTACGGTCTGAAGATCCACATTCGTACTCATACAGGCTACAAGCCTCTATCTTGTCGAGTCTGTCACCGAGCATTTGGTGATCCAAGTAATTTGAACAAGCACGTTAGGCTTCACGCTCAAGGCTCTACGCCCTACAGATGTCGTCACTGCGGTAAGGTGCTTGTGCGAAGACGGGACTTAGCGCGTCATCTCACGTCTCGGCATCCAGACAAACCTAAGCTTGACGATGACCAACACTCGGAAGATGGCACTACATCTAGCGAAGAAGTCGAAGTAGAAAAAAATTAATCTTGAATATGAAAGTTGACGGCGTTCCATTATGGATCTTACGAATATATGGTTCTGAATAAATAATAAGAGTTTGAAAATTTCGAATACACGAGATGTGTAGCTCGCAAAAATAACAGCCCTAATAAAAAGCTTCAAATCTATTTTGTAATGTCAATGAGATTGTTCGTTTTAAAAATATACTGTCAATGGTTACTGACAACACTCCTCTTGGTTTTATAAACAAACTTATTGCAAAAGCATGGGTAAATGTTTGTTCATTCTCGATGCATCAAGAGGATACGAAAATTTATGGCTCTCGTTGGTTGTGTAACGTAATCACAAACAGCCTGCCGTTTCCCTAAGACGATCGACTTTATTACTCCTTCCGCTGTGAGACAACTTGCTGACTAATAATATGGTCCAATACAACCTCCATTAGTTCAATCATAAAGTAAAAATAATAATCAACGCTTACTTTTTGGGGTGAATGCACAGAAAAAGCGAAGTGGAGCTTCTTTTACTCAAGTCATCGATGGCTGAAATATTGCTCCAATTAGGATATTTATGAATAATTCAACAAAATCACGAGTACAAGCAGGTTTGAAGGAAAAAGAAACATCATAACTTTTCCATCCTTTTTCTTGTCCTTTGAAAACCGGATGCCGCTACTAGCGTCAAACGTCTTGACAAAAACAGAAGCTAACTTATAATTTACACATAAGATTATATTTAAGACAAGGAAGAATGAAATTGGCAATTCTATTTAGTCTCATAATCGATATTGAACGATCAGCTACATACGCACGCCACACTCTATATCTAAATAACCATAACTGTGTTCAACCGACTATGAGATCGAAATTTCCATAGAGAACTACAAATAACTTAGTAAGTTTTTATTTAACAGGCAAAATACAGAAGTTTCAAATGAATCTAATCCCGAAAGTCCTGATTCCTGCAGATAACAATGGGTTCATACAAGGGAAAGCAGAACAAGGCTCGACGTAACAAATAAGATCTTGAGCTGTACGAACGAAGCTATAATTGTACCAAGCGACGAAACAATACAAGCGACCTCAAAATTGTATGCAATCAATGTGGTAGAATACGGAAGTTGCTACATACGAAAAAATATGCAAATTATTTGTTATTATTTATTATTTTATTCGAGTTAATTGCTCAAATAAAAAAATTTACAACATAAACACAAGGCTTTTAGTAATCAGCAGCATTATTAATGTTAGGGATGGAAGTTTATTATTTATTCGAGATTCAACTTAATAAATTTATGCATGGGTTTTTAGAACAGATTCATAATAGAAATATCAACGATTTAGCATATTTTAAGATTAAAAACGAATATTTTCGCTCATACTCTAAACATGAGGTGACTGATTAAGAGCGTGCTGAAAATAAGATTAGGTATGAAACAATATTTGATCGCTTGGAGTATTATGTTAGAATAACCAGAATCAGGAAACGCCGGAAACTCTGAATTGGATGTACTAGTTGACGTGACATTCGTGCATCGAAGCAACGCGAATTAGCGTACGAATGCAAAATTGAATCGAAAATTCCACTGAAATACGAACGAGATGATAATGACCTGTAGGAACGGAGTGCGCAATTCAAGACGAGCAACCAATTAGAGGTTGATTGACTGAAGCTTTCCGGACGCATTTTAAATTAGAAGCAGTCCATACTCTCGCACCACAACATCTTTGATCAATCTGAAGGATCCTTTTTTTAGCGACACAAAGCACTTAAGTTGTAGACATAACAACATAACATATGTGGGATTGAATTGCAAATTAACGAGCAACTCTATAAACGAAAAGTTTTGAGTTGCCCCGACATAACACATCGTAGTAATGATTTACTATAAAGATCGTTCTCAGAGCAGACTTGGTATAGGAAGGAGGCTCCTGAATTTCCAGTTAAAGGGTAATCTTTTTATCGTATATAATTGGATACAATGCTATGGAATATCATAAAAAGAACAACATGACCATTTGCATAGTTGATTAACAGAAACACAAGCAGGGTTCACACAATAGGCTATAGTTGTGAACTTTTCAATCGCGAGATTTTACGAAGTAAATCGCAATTCTAGATTAATATTATTTTGTGATGATACACAACACACTCATTATTTGAACATGACATATTCAAAGTTTATTGGAAATTAGAATGGTAAAGACTTCAATTTCAATAAAAAAAAAAATTATCTAAGAGATAAAATTTCAACTGATCCGGACCAAGAACAAAGATACGCTATTCCTCAGTCCTGCGTGCGCAATCAACAAACAAGAAACTGTAATAATCACAATTCAAAATAAACCTCCGGTTACAAGGAACACTCTGTACATTACATTCATTGCTTACATAAAAAAAATGAAGAATATATCACTAGGAAAACTTATGAGAGATTACCATGAAAAACTGACAACACGTGATGTACTCGTGGAAAGAACTAGCGCAGAAGCAACTGACTAGAAAAGCAGGAGCAGAACTAGAGAAAGTGGAGCGTTTATCTTTGCCTAATAGAATTACATTCATTCAACCACGACAGCCACTCAAGCTCGAAGTTGACCAGAAGCTTTACGACGGTTCAATTTCAAACAAGAAATATATAGCTCGGTAGAGAACAAATTATATATCATTTGCGACAATAGCTCCATACGGAAAAAAAGATTAATCCACACGAAAACCGTTCTTCGATTCCAGAATAAGATTCTATCACACTCGACGGGATCTTTGGAATGGCATAAATGGTGTGAGCATGACGACTTTGAATCACTCAAACCTTCACAACAAGTAAAAATAGTTTTACACATTCTCCAACACTAAATCGCTTCATAAGCGGTCGATAAAGACTAGAGGTTATAGAAAAACAGGTGCTGCACCAACCAACCAGTTCTCCCGTCAAGTTAAACTTCGTAAAAGTAATCAAAATAATTGATCCACTTCATCAGGCTGCAAAGACAAGAGTGATCTAAATTTGTAGGCTACTGCATTTAAAAAAAATCTTCTTCTGATAACGTTCTAGTTGCTACCTAATCCACATCACACAGAATATATTTTCTACAATAGCCGCATTACTTGACATCTAAAATCTAAACAAACTTCAGAGTATTTGCCACTACAAGTTACAGCAATGAGCTATCCTAGCAGGCATCAAGTCCAAATAATGCGTGCAGTTACAAAACTCCACTACAGAGAAATTGTGCATTCACGACCGAGTCGCTATTGTTGAATCTTCCAAGCGTTAGTTAGGTCTACGTTCATTTTTAGATAAACGAAAATAAGTGAATGAATTCATGTATAAACGCAATTTATTGTGCATGTAGTTGAGAAGATGCATGTTAAATTTTTCTGTCCCTTTCAAACGGAGAGAAATTATCGCAAGAATTACACATCCGAGTAATCTTCGGAATAAATTCATCACCTTATTGTAACAATTTGTACGAATATGAGGAAATAAATTTAAAACGATTTTAAAGCAGTTCAACTGCTAAGCTCTAATCATATTAGTGTAATAAAACAGCCTATCAAACAAGAACGTGAAATTAAAATGTATAACTCCCTAGTTTAGGTCAATGAATAGACTAATAATTATAATTTACATTGGGGCTTCGATGTGAGTTTTTGTGAAGTCATGTGGCCAGGCTAGATTAGCGAACAACAACTCATGCTACAAGAATACTTCACATAATTATTTCCAATCGGGGCATTATTTTCCAATGATAATCTGACTATTTTATAGCCTGTGAATTTTTCATACAAAATTATATCATGTACATAAAAAAGAAACATAAAACCCACTCAAAAAATGACCAAGCGACAGGCTATTGTGATAAGTATACAAGAAAAATTAACTCCTGATCAGATTAATTTAACATGGAAGGGTGTATAATTAAGGGCTGTGTTGGTCGAAAATATAAAATTGAGACAACCCGTGAAAGAAGTGCAAACCTTTAGTCGGCATTCTCGCGTAATAACAGAATAGGGCAAAACATCACCGATATACAGAAGTTTGCTGCGACGTAACATCACAAAATAACCTAAACAAAATTTACTAGCTACGTTTGGAATGAAATGCAAGCATTAAAGCCAACAGAGACGCTCACAATTTTTTACGTTGACCTCGGATATAACTCCCCGGTACACCAAGTACACTCACGGCTGTCGCCCGTCGCTCCACTTTTTTACAATACATCAGTAGGGAACATGAGAAGATGTTCTTTTTGCCCTCCAGTGCAGTGAGTGCAGTACGACTCTTCGGCCCAGGATTCGTAAGGGATAGCGTAGAAGAACTAATAAGTAAGGGAAATTGCTGCTGTAAACTCGCACCTATAACTATGGTTCAGTTTGGTGACCATGATAATGGAGCAGTATCGCTAGGACAGGACTCACGTCTGGTCGTTATGGTTCGGTATGTAGACGATGATGCTAATGGATTAGTACGGTCCATACAAGTAGAAGTGGCAGTAGTAGTTTGCAATCGCTTCAGCCATCAAGCTATTTCGCAGCGAAGAACAAAACATAATAACATCGCCAGCAAGGCGGAAGGTCTCAATTATTCAAAATCTCAAATCACTCATCACCCACAGGAGGTGGAAGGTCTCAGATGTCCAGCCCGCTGAAGCTGGCTCGAAAGAAGCAGCGTTAGCATCTCAAAGAGACGAAGTGACAAGGAGGGACAGGTGAAAAGCAACAGAAACGAAGACACTCGAACAAGAGGTCGCTTACACGGGGCGTCGGCCGCCCCCACGAGAGAGACAGAAAAGGAAAATGTAAGGAATCCTACCTACATAATAACTTAACCCCACAACTGAGACCTGCAGTCAGACACCGCGAGCTCAGCGGTGGGGCGCTCAGGAACAATCCTCCTAGGAGCGCGAAATCCCATAGGAGTTAATCGAGCACAGACACGCGTCAGAAGCCCCATAATTATGACCTGCAGTCAGACACCGCGAGCTCAGCGGGGGGTGGGGGCACTCAGGAACAAACCCCTTAGTACTGCTCACACAAGAAAGCGCGAGAGCAGTAGACTAAGTGAGTTAGACTTTAGGTTTTCACTTATGACATCCATCGCCAGTCACAAGATGCGTTGCCCACACATCGTTGGTAGAGGTTCGCGCCAGGAATACAGGTATAACGAATGGCCTGAAGTACGGACAAATCGGAATAATCATGAGCAAAAGTATGAATGCAAGAAGAATAAAAGATTAATTTTAGCGTCTACGTTATACATTCCGCACATCAGGAAATGGGCCTAACAGCAGCACGTCTATATAAAAGGTTTAGCTAAACCATACTTCAAGAAACTAAGAAAAATGTACAATAAATCAGTTTTTCAAATGAAGATACTACTTACGAACATTGAAACGAAATGTTCGTCTCAAGTGACGAAAAAATATCACATTCAGGACTGAGAAGCACCCAATATTGTGCAATCAAAGCAACAAAATGCTCATTTCTGTCTCGCATAAAACATTCATACAATAAAACATAAGCTGAGAATTCCAGGAAGCAGCCAATATCATCAGTACTTGAAGAACTTATTCGTTAATAATTCACGTCGAAAACATAGTACATATAAATATCGCCAATTAATTGCATAGTAATTATCAAATTAAAAGGATTTACGATGTCCTGGGCATGGGCTCAAAAGGAAGTCGACCATCAAGAGGATTGGACTCAATATTATTCGATGATTTCCGATGTCCAATATTATTCGGACATCGACTGAAAAAACATGGATGGATGCATTAGTAGCATACATGCATCATCCATTAAATTGTCTGCAGTGAGCCTCCAACAACATCTTAGGAAAGTGAAAAATTTCAATCCACAAGCCAAATTTCATGTTTTTTCAACTTGTATGCTTTATTGACACTTATTGAGTGGACGAGCTGGAGAGGTTGCCCTACCTTGGAACCCTAATAAGTTATAAACTACATTTTTGCGATGTCAACATTCCTCTTGGAATAACTAAATTATTAATTTATGCAGGCGTAAATTCGACTGCCATCATCAGGCTGCTGGATGACAAAAATCTCTGAGCAAGATTACATTTGAATGTCAATTCGAAGGGAAACAATTTTTTTCAAAACAGGTTCCACTGTAAGGTACAGACTACAGAAGTCTTTTCTAGGCTCAACTTTGCGCCGGTTACATAGAAGTGAAATTCAGCATTCTGATTTCAGATCAACGAACAACGCCAGAATGCATAAAGAAAATTATCCTTGAAAGTTGGTGAATATTAGAATCATAGACCAGCATGTATGAAAGATCACTAATATAACATTTGGGCCGACATGAAAACATTCCCGATAAAATGATTGAAATGCATAACGGGTATAGGCACAAGACGATGCATGTGACAAGTAGCAAATCATGTATTTAATTGGACTCCAGAGCTCGTGATGGTAAGAAATCCGTTTAAAAGGAGACAATCTTGGATACAGATAAGTACACGACTGAAAACTGAAGAAAATATTTTCACAACAAAGCCTTATTATTGCCTTTGAGCGACAGGCAGTACGACTCACTAGGCCGCATAGCTCTGCACTTGGAAACAGTATGTGTGAAATATTTTGTTCCAACGAAAGCGAAAGTGGAATGCAAAAAATGGAAATGCCGTAAAACTCTCAAGTCGGGATTGAAAACGGGTTTAAATTTAAGAATTCAAATAAAACGTTTTCCAAATTCTCAGAAGGAAGCGATTCCGACCACATCGGCTGGATCATTGAAATTTCATCGTTAGTTGCACTATAGTGTTAATACGTAGGCTCTAGTTGAATTTTGATACATCATCCAGGGGAAAAAAACATAGGAACAGTCAGTCAAAATGCATCAGAGACGATTAACCGCCAGCGAAAATAGAAAAGGTACATACGTCCTGCACTTCGAATTTCGTGTGGAGGTGGCCACTGCATTCGTGGAAAATGTTAGGGTGTGCGCATTGCCGTTGCTCTTTGTCACATCACCAACGTCTTGTTATCCAGATAATAAAAATTACGTAACGTGATGCGCGCGAGAGCCTCACGTGCTCGTAATCGACAACGCAGCAGAGGATCTGACTATCGTCAGAGAGATCATGGTGGACCAATAATTGTTTTTTGCTTACATTACCTAAATCAAGATCAATAGACTTTCCAAATTTGAACACTTACTGTCTACACTAGAAGCAACATTCACCCGGTTGTCCAAACTACAATACACAAGTACCAACAGGAGGTCTTATGTTCACCTTATTAATAATCGGGACAATCATCAGTCCGTCACTTCTAGAGCCAAATATTTCAGTCAACGACAGTTAAATACTTATAATCAACTCATTATCCTCGGAATACTCGCAAGCTTCAGTAAAACGAATATTTCTGACATCCGTCACCAGAAACAATTCTTGCCACAACACAGGCATATCGAGTATGTTATAGGTCTTTTGTTCCAATTAAAAAAACTAATTCTTCCATTGAGCTGCCGAAACTAGAACGCATGGCAAACCAAAGACTGAAAGAGTTCAGTTAGACATCATAACGCAAGAAAACAAGTCGCAGAATCAACGCAAGGGAAAGGATAACTCAAACTATGAATTATTAAGTAATGGCTGCAATACAATCGTAGTAAGTATAGCGATGAGAAAACGAAAAACAAACGGTTGGTATATTTATCTTGTGTTTCGTTATTGAGTCGTGAGGACCTTAACACTAGTGACAACTGAACCTTATTTTTTTATTTCACGTCATGAGGGAAACTAACGACGATGTGGACAGAAATATTGGTGAACTGTTGCTCTTACACCAACAGTTGATTACAGTTGCCGCGTATTAATGCCAGACATCTTTTGCAAACAAATGGCAAGTATAATGAAATTGAAAGTTCACGGGAGAGTATCTGTTCGATAAAATTCCCAAATATAATCAGACAAACTTAGAGTCACTTCCTATCATATAAAAGTCGATATCCATACGTGACGAAACTATATTATTAAGACATACAGCGAGTACTGAATACGCTGAACGCGTACGGACATTAGATTATACTTAAGAACTAAGGAAACTAAAAGAACAAAAACTTATCGATGATCACAAACTCAAGCCTCAAATCACCGTAGTTTAATTATTGTTAATAAAAGCTCAATTGGTAACGAAGAGCAACAGAAATTGCTATCCAACTAACAGCTGCATAGACAGTCTCGTCTCGTCCAGTAAGGAACTCTTTTTCCTTTCCATTAATCGACCTCCCAGAACGAATTCTCGCAGTTTTACAAACGTTTTCCGCTCCTCAATTTTGTTCACTTCTCAAGTATTTTTACCGCTCCAAAGACTAAAATTGACTGTTCAATGAACTAAAATCTCCACAAAAAAGGAGAGTTGATTGAACGCTCATCAGTTCTAAAAGCTGCCATTCACGCGAGCAGAGTTGTAGTCTCAGAAGCTGTAACTTCTTAAATGCCACTCTGTGAGAAACACCTTATAGGTTTTCCTTCCTAAATCCACTCAATTTAGTTTGCAATGAAAATTTAAACGTTAGTCCCCAGATCAGATAAGACGTTTTCCATATAAAAAGAAAATCGAGGGAATCCTTCTATTCTCAAAGCAGCCGGTAACAATTTTACTTACGAGATAGACAATTTAATTTAACAACTGTTTACTCGAGACGAATCGTATAGTTACTTCGCAACCATTTAGTTGCTAGAAAGAGATTAGCAACAAAATAATAATTTGTATTGACACAATTTTTTCTTTCCATATCGAATCGTACAATCTACGATCTTTAGACTCACGTAGGAATACGAGTTCAAATTTAGATAAACGCAACTTTGACCTCAAACAACACCAGCGAAATGAAATTTGCCGTCACTGCCTTGCAGGCACTGATGACACGCAATACGAGTCCATGAGAGGAACCGAACTGAACTTCCAGAGCTCCGCTTAAGAGATGGGACGACCAAAGATGTTGGTGTAACCATCCTTAAAAGAGTCCTGGCGGTCAGGCCGGAAAAGCCATTTTCAGAAAGCCCAAGCGAGGATGTTGTGGAGGTCGTGTTCGTAGACGGCGATGAGCAGCATAATGCCCGCCCCGGTGAGCATGCCGCACATCTGCAGCAGGATCTGGCCAGCAGCGCTGCACGTCTCGCCGCCCTTTACGCTCACCTCCGACAGCTGTGAAGCAAGTGACATTAGGAACGCAGCAATGCAGTAGAGAGCATCCTGTTACTGTATAACATTTAGAAAGCTCTCTTGGGATACTTGAGGAATTTTTGCTGCTGCTGAGAGCGCTAATTCGAAAAATATTATTAACAATGCTAATTTGCGATATGCTCACCTCCGACACCTGTGGCAGAAGTGGCATTAGAGACACAAGAAGGCAATAGACAGCGCTAACTCCATGAATATTATTGACAATGCTAATTGACGAACGGTGAATGGGGGTTTTCTCATTGAAATAAAGCTGAAACGGTGAGAACATGCCAGGATGTTTTCAATTAAATTATATCACTCCTTTAACAGCGGGAATTAGTTAAGTAAAGATAGATATTGTAATTGGAATAAATATTACTATTATAAAATTAAAAGAACCGCATTTGTAAGAAAATCGGTCGCGCACCACCTATATTAATTATTCACGTCTTGAAGGTTCAACGGAGGTTATCAATGGATACGAGGCAGTTAAAAGCAAAGCGCACCAGATCGACGAGGGCGAGATGCAGAAAAATGCCAGCAGTGAAGGAATAAATCCAGGGCGCGGCAGCCTCGATGGAACCAACCACCTCGCCTATGATCATCCCCACGACACTCAGCAGCCACATCAGCACCACCATCTGCAGCGCCGTCTTCCGGGTCATGCCCATGTCGAAGAGCAGAGCGAAATCCCCTGAAAATTAAGGCAATACTCAGACCCACGAATTATGTCAGGAAAAAATAATATGATCATGTGTCCGGAGTAACCAGGACAATTCAAACAAATCGATAACACTGCGAGTAAATAATTTAATATTCACAGGAATTTCATATATAAACAAAACTAAGATGATCTTGAGAAGTAGACAAATATTCGAAGCGGGATTCACTAAGAAGTGAATGAATCCGGCTAACAATATAGCAAAGATATTTTGCAGTAATTCATCATTAATACAGCGAACTATTATTGACATAATGATCATAGTTATCCATATCTACTAATTTATCAGTTTCAAATCCATGATATTGCTTTAAACGAAACAATCAATTATGTAGTTAAAATTTGTAATCATACGCACAAGTGGCTTCTCTGAACCTTATTTAATGCCAGCCCTGCTTCTGATCCTCAAATCCGGTTCCGAGACAGCTCCTAATTTTATTTGAACCCCCAACGAAACAAAAAATTTTTCTCACTCGGCGCTCCTCATGACTACGGCGTACCAGAGCCGAGCAGACACACTCAATACAGACCGACTTTATGGGGCAGCTCGTGGCGTAGAGACGAGCAGACACACTCAATACAGACCGACTTTATGGGGCAGCACGTGGCGTAGAGCCGAGCAGACACTCAATACAGACCGACTTTATGAGGCAGCTCGTGGCGTAGAGCCGAGCAGACACACTCAACACAGACCGACTTTATGAGGCAGCTCGTGGCGTAGAGCCGAGCAGACACACTCAATACAGACCGACTTTATGGGGCAGCTCGTGGCGTAGAGCCGAGCAGACACACTCAATACAGACCGACTTTATGGGGCAGCTCGTGGCACAGCACGGCGATGGCGGTGGCGATGCCGCCCGTAAGGCTCGTGGCGAAGGCCGCCCCGATGGCCATGCCGTCCATGAAGATGTGCATGCCCTCGCCCATCAAGATCATCATGCGCAGCGAGTCCTTGCGACCTTACAAATTAGAGTCCTTGTTAATAGATTATTTTAAATATAATGAGTTGAAGATGATAATTATGCATGGACACCATTAATATTTGAATGAAAAAATGAAAAAACAGCGTATAAAAAGGCTGTATAAGTAAATTGAATGACCTTAAAAATTATCGTACTTGTTAATCGATTATTTTATTTATAATGATTTGGAGATAATAATTATGCATGGACATCGTGAATATATGAATGACAAAACAGCGTATAAAAAGGCTGTGTATAAGTAAATCGATTACGATTGGAGATTAGTACTAAGAAATATAAGCAATGGCAATGACTAGAAATTAAAATCCCTCAAACACATAAAAACTGCTAAAACTCCAGAAAAAGACTGAGACGCCCGAAGACACCTCCACAAACACCTCAAACCGTACCCAATGACGGTTTTTTAGCATGTGAAGAGTTATTAAAATCTAAGTTTCCGTTCATTTCTTTGCATATTGCGCTACGGCGCACGGTTAGTAATAATATGAGAAATCATGTCAAGACTGTCAACAACACGTGAAGACGGTGAATAACATGTCGAGACTGAATAACATGTCAAGACTGTGAATAACATGTCGAAACTGTGAACATCACGTCATGACTGTGAGTGTCAGACCTGAGACGTGCGCATGGCCGTGATGCGAGTGGCCGTGATGGCTGACGTGGTACTCTTGTAGGACGATGTTCACACTCGAGCTGTCGTCGTTCTTGTCTGGCTTGAACTGCAACGGGAGGCTCCAAATTAACTTTAATAAAAGCCACTGTGAATAAGTTCTCTAAAAGGACCGGAGAAAATCTTTGAATAACTTTTAAAGAAGTACAAAAATTAGTTTAAAGTTTGATTTGACTATGAAAAGGTTCAAGGAATGAAAGTTCAAGTAAGTCTTATTGATTCGTTTAGTAGATGTACAGATCAATCTATCTACTGTAGGGAAGCTTGCATCCACACAAATTGACAATTATTCACGCTAGGTTAACTCAAGAACTTGAAGTCAATGTTCTACGCAACCAGAATCCACTGTTCTACGCAGCCAGGGGCCAAAGTTTCATTAACTAGATGCCATGGGTTATTGAGTAACTTGTCGACACAAGAGTTGCCAGAAGCTTGAACCCAACATTATATTAAACCAACATTATTCATCCGTGCTGTAAACACACCACGCATACAGGTACCCAAAATATATTATGACGTGTTGCGTCCTACATTGTACACGGCACGACACACCACAACATTCAGACCCCATGGCGCCTCGTGCGTCACCTCGAGAACCCATGACGCCTCGTGTGTCACCTCGAGACCGCATGGCACCTAGTGTGCCACCTCGAGACCCCATGGCGCCCAGGTCTCGTGTGTCACCTCGAGTTTCTCGGCGACGGTGACGGGGTTCATAAGTACGGGCAGGACGTGATGGTCGCGCTGCAGGGTGCTGGCCGTGCTGCTCGTGCCCCCACGGGCACCGGGTGCGACGACAGCATCGCCGTCGCCGTCAGCATTGCCGTTGGGGTCCCCGGTGCTGGACCTGTTCTGAGGACAGCCGCCGAAACATCGCGACGCATCACCTGTAAATATGACACGACTCTAAGGTATTTATACGTTACGAAAAAAAGTATCCATTAAATGCATACAATCTAAAGAAAAAAAAAAACATAAAATCACTCCATGGCTAAACGTTCACTTTCAAGGTACAAATCCTATGGAGGTTCTAGGCTGGAAATGAATTTCATTACGAAATTAACTTTAGAAAAAATCCGATTGCCTACCGCGGGCATCTAAGGTGTTATCAAAGGAGTCTTCCTTGCTGTGCTCGCTTAGCTTCTTGCCGATTTTCTGGCTGGGCGGCAGGTCGATGGCAGTGTCGCTGAGAAGTAAACTTGCGTTGCGTGGCAGCGTCGAGTTGCTAGTCTGAACACAAACAAAAATTCACAGTAAAATAATGTTTGGGGTCCTGATTCCCAACCTTATTATTCTAACGCAGAACAATAATTTTTCTTGATTTCTAGTGGCAATTTAAATTCCATTACTTTTTTCCATTTACACAGAAACGACTACAAACAAACTCTTTCTGGAACGCTCCGACTTGTCGGTCCAGTAATCACAAACGAAACGTCATTCCTGCAAAGCGCTTTCCGGACAAGAGCGTTTACTTGTAAAAATAATACAAATTTTCTATGCTTTGGTCATCATGGGCAGTAACGACGCATCATACCGAGCCATGGGCCGCAATGGGCCCGCTGCCCCGTCGTTGCCGTGCGCCACCGTGGGCGTGTCCGTGAGCGTCCTTTGCTCCGGACCTGATGTTGTGTAGACGCTCCAGGAACAGGAAGATGATGATGCCCATGAGGGCCGTGAAGCCGTACAGCGCTTGTCTGCAAACCAGTTTACATAATTATGCTAGTTTAATTATCTTAAAACACGGAAAATGTCATAAGAATCTGGCGACAATTATATAAAACAAAACTTATTTGCATATTAACAGATCAAAATACCGTGGGGATGCAAGTGGGAATTTGCTGAGTGAAAAATTGCAACAGTGGAGCATCAAACTAATTAAATTCTTTTTCGTTCCAAACAAAATCTAAGAATGATACAAAATTTAATGAAAATACCGAACAGAATTTGATACGAGTACGTTAGGCGATTAGCTGAAATTGAATATAACATGCGGAAACAGACTTAATATGTCTGTTCAGCAATAAGAATCATCAACATACATATTTCATGAGTTGAAAAGAGCAACTGAAAGGTAAAATACTGAATCAAGTCTTATTATTATAATTTACCAATTATTATCATAAAAAGATGTTATTTGACGAAAATCTGGCACGGGTGAGCAAGATGATTTTTATTAGAATAATTAACTTGTTATTAAAATCCCTTGTTTGCCTAAATCGCAAGTTAACCAGGAATTTAACAGCGAAGACAATGCTACAAATTCACCATATCTTTACGTTTTCTCTTATAAAGAAAGATATTGGGAATTTTTGTGCTATTATCTTTGCTTTTAAATTCCTTATTAAGTTGTTGTGTGGCCTCGTGCTAGCTCTGCCACATAAATCTGGCATGACTCAACGGTTAGAGAAGACGATTACGAGACGCATGCGAACTACTGACGTGAGGCAGGAGATGGATGAGAGCGTCCCCAGCGAGGGTTCCTACAGCCAGGGACAGGAGGAAGTGGTTGGCTTGGTCGTAGTGGCGAGTCCTGCGTAGAGCTGGCAGGACCATCGTGCATGCCAGGCTAATGCAGCCGATCAGTAGCATGGATACCACGCCTCCGATCCAGCGAGCTGGTGACACGTCAGACATTCATCCATTCATATTTCATATTCATATGAAGGTGAGAAATATAAGGTGACATTAATAAGATTTCACCCCATCAGTAAATTGAGTGGGCGGTTCAATCTCGCCAGCCAATCTTCAGAAGTTTCATCTTCGTTAGTTAGTCTTGTAGGATTCAAAGATGTTAGTACGCATTCATGAAATTTTCATGCCAGCAAATTATCATGAAAAGTATCACCTTTAATTAACCCTAAAAAGATTTACGGTCAAAGACATGAATAATTTACGGAAATTATTTGAATATTCTGAGATGAAGTAGAAAAAAATATGCATAGTAACACATGCAACTAAAATTTTGGCTGAAGTTCTGCATCACGTACGAGCCACGCACCTTCTTTCTCACGTTACCAAATCAAGAACTGCTTACAATAAAAAAGTAACTCACCATAAACACTTTCCTTGCGATCAAGTCGACGATATTCTTCATCATAGTCATAGTCATAAAACTCAGACCCTGGATGCCGTTTGGGATACTGGTCTCCATATCCTCTCCTGTTGAGCTCGTACCGCTTACGGTTCTTCATATGAGCGTCGTCGTCGGGGTACCGGCGGTCTCCGTAGCGGTTCCGGTCCCAGGACGACCCCGGTCGGCGCGGGTCGTAGGCAGGATTCTTAGGATCATTTCTTGGGTCACGAGGATCGTACTTAGGAAGGTATTTAGGATCACGCGGGTCGTACTTCGGATCACGAAGATTATATTTTGGATCACGAGAATCATACTTGGGGTCTTGAGCTCTGTACTTTGGGTCTCTGTGATCATTTCTCGGATCTCTTGGGTCATACCTTGGGTCACGACGATCATATTCACGACCGCGTCCATCGTACTCAGTGTTCCTCATTTTGCCACTACGTCTGCGCTGTTCATAATCAAGGTCTCTTGCTCGTGGATCGTATCCAGGGTTCCTTGGGTCGTAAACTGGATTCCGAGGATCATATCGCGGGTCAATATCAACACGGTGAGGTCTGTAACGAGTATCTTCGGGATCTCCAGGTCTTCCGAGCACGGGTAATGGGAGAAAAGGGTCTCCGGGGACTCGGAAGCAGCCGGATTGGGAGTGGTTTAGCATATAGGATATGAGGGCAGGGCACGACGAGAAGAACGAGCTGGGCAAGAGTTCACCATCTTGCCCCAGGGCTAGATGAGACATGGCATCTGACACGTTGCCGCAGTCAGGCTCCTGTAACAAACACATGCATTAATTACGACGAAGTCACCTGGGTAGTGTCACCAATACGTTGCTCTCTCTGTCGCGTTGTAATGAGAACACACGATGAAAATAAATAACCAGTGAATAAATACAACGCAAACAATTTACAAACTTATTGTATTTAAAATCAATGGAGAAGAAGCGTATCAGCAGATATGCTAAGATCAGAAACAGTCAGTACCAACAAATTGCAACACCAATAAAAAAAGCCAATAAAAGTTACTTGATTGTTGTCAACTAAATTTATTTGTGCATTGATCGGCAGTTACACGCTACATTCGGTACTGGTGTGGAGGCTAGCTGCATTCTCTATTACTTATCACAGATTTGGATAAAAAAAGCAATAAAATATTTCCACAAGAGAAAGGAGAATATGATGGGAACGAGGGAATTAGATAAAGATTAATGTTTTTGTGAACAAGGACTACATGGAATAGAAATATTGTTTCGTAAAATTATCTCTAATTATTTCGATTTTGGTTTGCAGATAGAAAAGAGAAAAATGTATAAAGAATCAGATATCAATATACCATTTAAAAAATTTCGACTGCATTTCAGGCTTTCAGCTAACATATATTGCAGATGAAACAAAAGCAGACCAACGAAAGCAGTGAAGTGTCAGGGATATCATACAAATCCTAAAGGAATATAATAAATAAATCGAGGTTTTCAAACCAGCGAATATGTCAAGGATGGGATTGTGAGGAGACATTGTTGAGGAAAGCGTAACGGCCGGTTAGCCGGCTACATTGTTCCCAGCTGAATAGTCACTGGTTTCTTATAAAGAGCGGGAGCAAAGCAACATAAGGTTGACCAGGAGAACTCAACGCCGTCTCACAGAGAATCCAAAACGACCTCCGGATTGCGAGGAATAGATACTTATACGCTTTCTGAAGAGATAGAGATAGACGGATCGCATGAATATATACTGGTATAAGTGGCATTTAAATACGGAGCAAAGAATGAGATCAGTTCGTAGTATAAGTGATCGTAGTATAAGTAGTATCTCACTCAACAAGTTCAGTACAGTTTGAATTTCACAAGTTCACGAAAGACATAACGGGTACCTTGATAAAGAGAAAAAATATCTTTCATAAACATTAATGCTGCTACAACTTTTGATAAGATGGAATAAGGACAAGTCCCATCACATCGACTTGTGATGGGACTTGATTGAATTTATCAATCATGATTTTTAAACTAATTTTCTATTTATTCGTTAATTCTTCAATGCATTTTAAGATTTCTGAAAGGTTTTCTTGGAAATCTCATTACTATCGCACGAACACAAGGCTTAACAGTAATCAGTGTACAACATACAGCGATCAACTAATAGAAGAATGTGTCAATTGTCACAGAAAATTGGCCTCTAGAAGGCCCAATGTTTGCAAGAAGAAATAGACGGATTGCACAAGACTCATCAACACCGTATAGAGCGGTGAAGTTCAGGGGCATGTTACACTCTTGAGCGAGCAACGATATAAGCACGTCTGAGTGCAAGTTGATTATCTCGTGTAAAAATTATGCAATTCTGAAACCATTGAAATGAAATAAAATAAAAACTCTTAACAATTTCCCGGCGCGTCGAGCGTCAACGGCATTTTTCGTCAAGTTACACGGCCGTACGGAAACGAACCTCTGGATAGGATAGCCTATTTACATAATTCATGTACGAGTTATGTAATATAAAGCCCAGTTGCAGGTATAAGTGAGAGCAAACTTGCGACGGGCCACTACGCTCGGCAAGGATATACTCAATAACGACTCGACCGTCTGACGCTGAAAGATTGGTAGAAACTTGAGACAGCCTCTTATTCCGCGGCGGTGACCGTGAGATGGGGTGACGGTGATGTGCCGAACGTAAGGGCTGTTAGCCACCATTTTTAGCGTCAACGAAAATCATATAATTTTATGAATAATAAATTATATGAAAAAAATAACGTGAGTTAATAAAAATAAATGGTGGTTTCGGTGAATGGTATTGCGCTATTGTTGGAGGCATAACGTGCGATAGATTGGTACCTCACAAATGACATTTAGCTACAAATGAGTTCTTTTAAAGTTATCCGGTAGAAGGAGAGCTTCCTCCTTGCGAGTAAGCAATGAGTACAATCTACGATACGGAGAGCACATTTCATTGAGCGCACTCCTAATCACAACAATAAGAAAGGTAATTATGCGATAACCAACCTAAGTCTTCTGACCCTGAAGCTCCAAGGAACTCTGAGCGATGACGTGCAAGAGAGACGGGCTTCTCGGTTGCATTTGAAGTCTAGATGTACATCTCGGTAGCGCGCGATCTCACCAGCTATTATACGATGACCAACTCAAGTCTAATTTTGACCCTGAGGACCCAAGAAACTCTGATCGATGACGTGCAAGAGAGACTGTTTTCTCGGTTGCATTCGAAGTCTAGATGTACATCGCGGTAGTGCGCGATCTCACCAGCTATTATACGATGACCAACTCAAGTCTAATTTTGACCCTGAGCTCCAAGAAACTCTAATCGATGACGTGCAAGAGAGGCTGGTTTCTCGGTTGCTTTGAAAGTTAACTGTACGTCTCTAACTGTACGTCTCGGTAGGGTGCGATGTCTCCAGCCTGCAGCGTAGGATATGCAAGTGTTGTAGTCAGGGTCAATGCTCGTCGACCTCAGAGGCTAAGGGGGTATGCGCGAAAGTTGACGGCTCGTGCATGATCTTTCGTCCGCAGTTACATGCAATATATGCGAGTGATGCAGAGAATTATTGTTACTACTTTTACAAATAATATCTTAATTTTTGCTATAGAACGGAAACATTGGTAAAATATCGACTGGCCTAGTACAATATAATCATTTCTGGACACGGCTGCACTAGGGTGAGGCGCACACCACATTCTTCTAAGCGAAAAATTTCGAGCAATATATTTCTCACAATTCAGTTATTTTGATCAAGAGATTTTACAAGTAGACTAAGAAGATACAAGAATTCGCCCACTTAATTTTCAGTTATGTATAGTATCTTTCAGCCTAACTTTCTACTATACTAACCACGCAGCAACTTTCCTGGGCGCTTCACAACATAAGGAGACCAGAATGGGACTTGACTTTACAGAAGCCATTAAAGCCGGAGCGAGAGACATTTTTTTATCAAAAGGTTGCACGCTCTCCGCATATGGACGTATTTAAAATAGAGAGCGGTGCGGTTAAATCTAACAGCATACACATAACAGAACAAGAGGATACAACGATTGAAACAAAAATGTAAAGCTTAGGAAGCTAAAAATTCACGTCTCATAGGCAAAACTATCCCAGGTGTTGCAGAAGAGCACACGTCGCCTGGTAGAAAACGTTGAAGTTCGTGTGTGCGAACGCAACTTATTTCAAGTAGCTCAGTAGTTCCTGTAAGCTACCAAGTTATACACGTGTTGATTAACTTGAAACGTGTAGCGAACCGCGTTCCGCTACATCATTAAGAGAGGCGTGTGTGTTTCAGTGTGCGCTTGCACGTCGAGCTGTGATGTTGTGGATAGCGTCGCTTCCACAAGCTATAAGCCCCAAACGGCAGCTGATCGTGCACACAGAAACGGTGTGTCAATCGGGTCCTGGACAAAAAGTGTTCTGTTTTCTAGCAAATCCGCATCAGAATTATGCGAGCAGTTAACCGTTTATTGCTAATTTGAATCGTCCAGCGAATTCAGAATTATAATATCGACGCAATGTATAACAAACAAAAGTTATATGTGCTTAGTGTCTCCACAACTTTCAAGTGCCAGGTATATGCCATAGTTAAATTTTTATTGAACCCCTTAAAAGTGAAAATTTGCACAGATATAATGATAAATGTGCGCCTTCCCATACTTTCCGGATTTAATTTCTGGATTTAATCGAGATTTATGGTTATGAATTGCAATTTGAAATTTACATAATATGAATTTGGTTAGCTCATATGTAGAATAGCATGATTTGGCTATCTTGAAATTGGCCGCTCGAATGACTTATTTCAAAATGATCATATGAGCATATAAATCAAGCTTAAAACATTTTCAAAGAACATTTTATGCAACTTGTGACGTACTATAACTTCTACAGAAAGGTTTTGGAAACATTTGAGTCGACATACCGAAGTATACTTTGTCATTCAACTTTAAATACAAGTTTAGTCCCTTATTCTCGGTAAATTGTCAATAAGTTCTTGGTTTCCAAGCCTCGACTTCATTGAAAGCGAAAGTCTCGATTGCCCGCCGGCCTATAGAGCGAAGTGACAAAACCAGTTTGACCAGCTGAGTTGTTAGAGTTGTTAAGTCGAGAGGCCGCGGAAAATCGGAGCTGCAGTACTAGGAAGAGAAAAATTATATGCCGGACATTCAATTCAGAGGGAAAATAAGCTACAGCCATGGATCATTGCCGCAATAGTGGAATGGAAAATACATGGAAAAAGAGGAAGAGAACTGCCATTATGCGGGCCATGTTCCAATTGCCTGTCAATAAGTTCAGGGTCTTAGCACGAGTATTACATAGAATATATATGCATGCTGAGTTATTATTGAAATAAGTATAAACATGAGTGATAGATATCTACTATTGATTAAAATTTCCCGGGAAACCCGAAATCTAACAGGTGTTGTGAAACTCGCAGTGTCGATAGGCCACGGTGACAAGAGCTTGATAAGTTGAGAACTGTATCGAACACTCAAAACACTAGCGGTGCTAATAAACAGTGAAAGNATTCATCCATTCATATTTCATATTCATATGAAGGTGAGAAATATAAGGTGACATTAATAAGATTTCACCCCATCAGTAAATTGAGTGGGCGGTTCAATCTCGCCAGCCAATCTTCAGAAGTTTCATCTTCGTTAGTTAGTCTTGTAGGATTCAAAGATGTTAGTACGCATTCATGAAATTTTCATGCCAGCAAATTATCATGAAAAGTATCACCTTTAATTAACCCTAAAAAGATTTACGGTCAAAGACATGAATAATTTAC